ATCCTTTCAAATTTCCCGGAGAGGATGGTATATTTCCAGCTTTTCTTCAAAACGGACTGGAAATAAGTTTACCTATTTTCACAAAATTGTATAGCTAGTCTGGCGTGGAACTATATACCACCCCGTTGGTGGTATATAGTTCCACGGCAAATCGACAGATTCAGCATTAAACAACCTCATTGAGAAAATCACCCAATCCCTTGACAACAAAGAGATTGCGGTTGCTGTGTTTCTTGATATCGAAGGAGCATTTGACAATGCACTACCTAAATCTATAGGATTGTCTCTGGCTAGAAAGGGTATAGAATCGACCATAACTAGTTGGATCTATGCCATGCAAGTAAACAGAACTTCAACTACGACTCTTCAAGGCGAGGCTATCAGGTTCAGAGTCACCAGGGGCTGTCCTCAAGGTGGGGTACTACATCCCCTTCTGTGGTCGCTCCTGGTGGATAGTCTGCTTGATGCCCTCGACAGAAGAAAAGTTGATCTGCAAGCTTATGCAGGTGACCTTGTCATCCTGGCAAGGTCCACATCGCGAAGGGTAACTTGTAATATCCTCCAAAGCGCGTTGAACGTTGTTCACAGTTGGTGACTGACGGAGCAGATGTCTGTCAACCCCAGCAAAACTGTGTTAATCCCCTTCACCAAGAGGAGGAAATTGGACGATCTAACGCCACTTTCCCTCAATGGTGTGGTCATTCCATTTGGAACGAAGGTGAAATATCTTGGCATTGTCCTTGATAAAAGACTCACCTGGAACGCTCACTTGGAAAAAGTTTTACACAAAGCCAAACTGTCTCTATGGACATGTCGAAGTATTATTGTGTGCGGAGAGATTGGATAAATCCAACTTCACTCACAAGTAAATAAAAATATTCTCGGACAGTCAAGCGGCATTGAACGCTCTTGGCTCCCCCGAGCAAACTGCCAAAGAAGACTTTCGAATGGAAGACTAAACAGATTGTCTCTGGTCTGGAATCCTGGCCATACTAGCCTGGAAGGCAATGAAGCTGTTGACTTCCTTGCAAAGGAGGGTGCTGCAAGCGGCTTCATTGGACCAGAACCTGTCATTGTTATCGCTTTGGGCTTTGCCAAACAAACACTTAACACCTGGATGGCAAGAAGAGTTATGGACTTCTGGCAGAATCTTCCAGGATTGGCTCACTCCACGGCGTTTATTCACCCTTCGAAGCTTGATTTCAAACAGTTGTTGGACTACAGTAGGGATGAACTACGATGTCTAACAGGCCTTCTTACAGGTCACTGTCATTTGAATCATCACATCCAAAGACTTGGACTGTCGGAAGAGAGTGTGTGCCTCTGTCTGGAAAATGATGAAACTGCAGAGCATTTACTTTGTGCCTGCCCCGCTGGGGACCGAATCAGGTTCTTTGAGTTCGGCAGATCCGTACTCTCACCATCTGACCTGAAAGATCCCTCACCATATAAACTAATCGGCTTCGTTAAGAAGCTGGGTTTATTTGGCCGAGTGTGAATAGGTGTGAGCCACAATCAACCCTTATGGGTTGCGGTGGAGGGTCGAATAGACCCACTCTCTTTAGACCTACCTACCTACCTACGTCTACTCACTCAGACATCCAAGAATGGTAACTCGTCATCGATTTCAATTCCAAATGTGAACATGATGTTCGGGGATTCATTGTTAGGAGTTAGATCAAAGTCCTCTACCTCAGATTTCTTCGTGTCAAAAATAGCAGATAATTTTCTTTATATCATGTTCAATTCAGTGGAAGCTGATCAAGTTATGAAAGACGACAGTGGATTTTCTATTGCCGTACCTTCGTTCTATCGGTAGAGAGAGCTATAGAACTGGAATAAAATCTGTTTCTTGTGTATTTTTTCAGATGTATGTTATTTTTGATTACTCCTTCAGTTCATGTTAATTGTTTGGTTAGCCATTCAGCAATTAGTCGCATCACACCCACTTGACAAATTTGTAAATTTTTGGTGTACCGCATATTTTCAGAACTGAAGGATTAGAAACCTGTTAACTCGTGTTCAAAGTCGATGCGATAAAATTTTGATACTTTTTGAGTGTGTTTTTACTTCTGAAATCATATTAGTAATCAGCTCATTGGTAATTCATTATAGGGACCATTCTCGATTGGATTATATTTTCTCCTTTAGTAATCTAGTTTGTTCTATACGACAAACTTATCATTACCTCGGATTTTTTTTCAGATATCACACATCTTTCTCTTTCATTCATTGTATAATCTTTCTTTTTTTACCCGCAATCATTGATGTGTGTCTGAAAGTGAAAGCCTACCCTGTTAGATATAAATAGTTTCAATTACGAATTATTGATGTCTCCTGAAGACGCCCTTTAGGTTATGCAACTATGCATACATAACTCACTCTTAGATTACATTTCATCTGGACAGTTACATCAGAGGAAAAGTGAAAACCATCAATCATTAGAAAAGCATTAGGCAAAGACACAAACTAAATAAAAAACATTGAATTGACCTACTTTACGCTTTTTAGATCACCAGTTCTACGATAGACTTGTCTGGTTATCAAACATACCATTCACCGAAACATAAGTCCAATCATTCAACATTAGTTTAAATTACAATATACGAAGTGATGATTCATCAAACACCAAAAAATATTTACGTTAATGAAACAGAAAATTCAGAAAAACGATATCGCGTTCACAAAATCACACGGAAGTAACTCAGTCATCGCCATTCCTCACGACATTCACATTGACAAAACTTGTGATTTCATACAATTCAGCAATTCTGAAGTTTTCCAAATCATCCCACTGATAAATTCCAACCTATGGTAGAAAACTCCATTCAACAAGCCACCGCCTTCATCAAACCTGAATATAGATTGTGATACATTATATCTAACTCATAGTCTCCGCAACTATACTCATTCATCAAACTTCATGAACAATATAAGCTCATTAGACAAGTAGCATGAAATTTCTAAATTTCTACAAATATACAAACTTATCATAGTTTTTCAATATTCATAACTGGGATGAACTCATTAGAAACATTTCCGAATATCCAACTTCCATCTAATTGCAAATTAGTTTCGTTCGATGTTACAAACGTATTCCCATGCGTCCCTCCAGACCACTTCTATCAATTCAGAAATCTTTGCTCTACTATTTAGATGTATGAACAATAATTACTTTGAATGTAGTAGCACCATATATAAAAAATTAAGGAGGCCTCATAAAGTGTGATATTCTAAGACCCCTACTACCTGAAATGTTTATGGAAAACTTTGAAATAACTACTCGACAACACGCAACTTTCAAAAAATTCATTTATCGGTACAGATATGTAGATGATATGTACACATCGACAATTACGATCACTCCTCTGATACATCATTTCCATTCATCAAAACATAATATCTACAATAGAACTCATAACCAAAGATTTTATAAACTTTTTGGACCTGACAATAACAAAAATGATCAAAAATCATGATTTCGTAATTCACTACGAATCATCACACACAGACACAACTTCAACAATCATTCCACTTACCTTTTTCAACATGATCTAGCAGCTAACTTCAGGATATTCATACACTTCAATATTTCTATGTGAACAGACAATTTTAAAGAGACCTAATTGGATAAAACAGATAGCAGTAGATAATCACTTCAATCCGGACATGATATATCACCTCCTTGACAAACTATTCAAACAAGCCGTTGAACAAGTATACCCCCATATCAAAAATAATACTAAAACTACGTAGTAGAAAATCATAATGAAAAAAAAAGGAATTGAAACTTTCTGTTTTTTACCACTATTTGTAACTAACGTAACTGCAGTTGTGTCCTATAAGGACATTTTCAAACTTATTATTTATTTAATGTAAAAGTTTGTCCTATAAGGATATTTCTAAACTTATAAATTATTCATTTAACGTATACGTTTGAAAATGTCCTTATAGGACGAAACTGCAATAACTCTGGCATATAGAGCAAATACAGAAAAAGCATCAGAAAAGATAAGTAGCCTACTAAATAAACGGAACATGTAATAACACCTTTGGTAGACAAATAAAAAAACAACAAATCCAGCATCAACAAGAACAACAAATCAGGTGTCAACATGCTAAAATGTGGCTCGTGACAGAAATTCATATTGGGACAATATCTAAAAATTTCAGAACCAGAACACAAAAGGAGTATTCAATCAAATTTCCCATTGAACGAACAAAATTAACTTATCTCCTTACCACTGTTGGATTTATTTTCATGAAAAATTCATAAGAATTAGTCGAATCGTTAGTGAAATAATTCAACCTGCTTTCTATCTCGTGGCTATCTGTTCGAAAAATTACTCACTCACCAATTAGTAGTCTCTATAAATCGAAATCGGTAATTAGTTTACATTGCATTTTAAATTAATGTAGAGTACCAATCCAACTCAGGAAACTACTCTTGTAGTGAATATTACTGAAGTTTTTTCCCAGCACCAAACCGTTATTTCATCACCTCGACATGTGTCAAGGAGAACATTAAACTAAATGTACTTACAATGTTTTCCTTATTTATACCATAGATACATCTTCTAGGTACCTGCGTCTAAGTGTCTCAAATTATTATTACATAAAGACACATTGTAAAATTAATTCAAACCTAGTAGATAAGGCAATATTGTGTATATAATTTATGACGTTTAAAACGCAGGTACCTAGAAAAGGTATCTAAGGTATAAATAAAGATAACATTTTAAGTATATTTAGTTTAATACTCCTCTTGAAGATTGTCACTTGGTGATCGAAACACGTGTTGAGGTGATAAATTAACGGTTTGGTGTTGAGAAGAAACTCCAGTTATATTCATTACTACACCAAAGGTTTCGAACAGTGCATCACTAGAACTCTTGTATTGTAACGCTCTTTGGAAATGAATTCTTTGTCTGCTCCAAGTAAAATTTCATTTTTTCACATAAATATAGATTTTTATTGTGTGTGTATTCAATGAAATAAATAAATAATTACAAATGGTTTGAATATGTACAGTTAACATTTATAGTATTTCATAAAATATACTAATGAAAACATATCCTAATAAATTCAAATAAAAAAACAAATAAATTATAAACATTTGCTCAATCGTTTCATATCGATAAATTTCATTATTTGTCGTATAGTTTTCGGTTATTAATCTCCAGTTCAAAAATTGAGCAAGGTTTGATAAACTATATTATTATTCACATGGCAGTTTTCACTCAATTTTTGAATTTATACTAGAACCTGTCGATAACGTATAAGCAATTTCCTGGAATAATCCTGCTATGAGGATTCACGAATCGGGTAAAATGGATTTCTTCGATGTCGCCTCAGCAACAATATTCTCGTCATTATTTCTGTATTCATTCCATCCATTGTAAGCTAGGTTTTGTGCGGCATTTTCGTCATTTCTGTAATGTCCATGATGATGATACTCATTATAGTCGTGAGAAAAGGTGGGTGGTGAGGAATAATGATGTTGATAGGCGATTCCTGCAGGGGAATATTGTGGTCCGGAACCACCAAAGAAAGATCCTGCAAACACAATTCAGAATGATTACGTTTTCCAAAATAAAAAAAAACATTGAGTGGGTAAATTCAAAATGGGTAAATTCTTCCGTTTTTAGGAATTTTTCGACAATTGTTTCATACAAATGAAGAAGTAAAAAGCTAGAAAGCTTTTAACCAAAAACAAATCTCTCCTTGAAATATCTGTTTTTTTATTTATTTACTTTGAGTTCATTCAGACGATTTCAATATGGTCAAATACATACATGTTGAAAATTATTCAATGAATATCAATCAATCCTAATTGGCACACAAACACAATATGTTTCCATAAATCATGGAAGTGATTGAATTTTCAGGTCTAGCGTAGGTAGTGAGTTATGTGAATAGTGAGTAACATGATTTTGTTTTGAATAACAATAGAAACATAGTTTGATAACACAGATGTTATTAAGAAATCAGGGTTCCATTGAATTGAATAGCTTTACAATATACCAAATTTGTTTCATCGAGGGTAACCACCTTTTTCGTGAAATATTAATACTGTATGTTTTGTGAAATTTTTCACAGATTCTATACTTTTCACTCTTTTACATCGTTTCTTTGAAAATTCCAGTATTTTTTCATTCACTGTGCTGTATCAATTGTTTTATTGATAGTAAGTGCTTTTGCATCATAACTTTTTTTTATGAATTTGGTAACTTTCAAAGTTAGGCCTCACCTTTTCCAAATTTGGAACAATATTCAAATTATATTCAATACATTTCAAATCATAGGATGTTCAACAATTAAAATAATAATTTTTTCTACTTCACGTAAAATAAAAATTTTGAGAAAGGTTTTTTCAGAATATGATATCTGTATTGCTCAGATTCAATTTCTCATATATATTTTTACTGAAATCGGGATTTCTTGTATAAAAGAAGCAGCTTATTGAAATCTCTTCTGGAAGGTTTCTGAAGAGGTTGAGAGACTGCTGTTTTTTCTGTTTTGTTTCTTTCTTAGAATTATTAAATGTAATTCACGCTGAATATTATCAGGAATGTGTTAATATATAGTAGAACCCCTTTTCCTGAAATATAACCGACTCACTACTGTATCTTGAATTACTTAAAGGTTTCTTTTTCTTTTTTGGGAGAGAACGTTTTTCGCTTTCTACTACTCCATCAAGTTTCTTTTTCATTTCATAATATATGATGATAATTCTAAACATACTGATGTACTAAAACATAATACAATTCTGATGCTGATTTTCAACTGAAATTACTGCAGTTGAGCCTAATTTTATATATTCCTTCTTTTTTGAACTATATGTTTTTACTGGTGGTTCAATGTACTACTCTCAAACTACAGACAACAGCAAAAACCCTACCTCCATTTTGTTTCAGATTGGGCTTGCAGAAATTGAAGAATGCAATTGCTCCTGGAATGATCAGGGCGAGGAACCCTAATAGCTTCTGGAACGACGCGAGTCCAAGGATCAATGGCAAGAAAAGAAGAAGTTTCAGTTTGAATAATTTCAAGACTAGTAGAAGAGGGATGAAAAGTTTCTTCAGCTGTTTTCTTTCTGTAAAAAACAAAAATCTCAAGTTAGTATCATATGAGACTTGATAAGCTAACATTTATATTTATCCATAACTTCATAACCACATGAAATAACTTATATTTTTTCAATTCTCCACATAGCAATTCCTCAACTTCCTGGTAGTTTATGTAAACAATGAGTATCAAACTTTCATCATAACATGGTTTCTTTCATGAAAATGTATTTCGCATGTTATTCGCATGAATTTCAAATGTTATGACTTTGTTTTGCTTCGGAGCTTTTTGACTTGTCTTCGACGATGATCGTATTAATACCCTGTACTGTTCCTTCATGGAATGTTGGTCATATACCTCTGGACTCACTTTGAGGGAAGTCTCTCCAATACAGTCTTATTTCAGTAATATCATGCATGTGGATGATATCAAATGTGTAACCCTGTTACTATCCTGAATTATGTTTTTCTGAAACATTCATTTGCTTTTTTCTTCAATGAATTTGTTCAAAATTATGTTACTTTTCATGTAACTCATTGACTCATTTCTCTATCTGGTTCTTTTCCAATGAATACGGTACCTTCCAACTGGTTCAGGACCTTTGGGTGAAGTTGATCATTCCTTTCTAGCAAAATCATTAAGTTTCCTTTCCTTAATTATCCCAAATTGCAAATTTTGCTTAATCTTTACTTTCTGACTCATCTATTTAGATCTGTGAGATTTATATATGTAAGTATACATTAGTCGCCAAAACTATCGACGAATCCTGTTTCTTCCTTCATGTTTCTGAATGGAGTTAATTCCTATCAGTCTATCAGATTTTGGAAGTAGGGTGCATAACTGACCTAAAAACTTTCCAGTCGTGAACGAAAGGTGCACTTGGATCATTGCTACCTATTAGAAAATTGAAAGGTAGTTGATGTCCCAAAGTTAACAAAAAAAAACAGAAATACCGAAAACGTTGTAGAACAATAAAATACTCATCATTACCCGATACTCATTTTGAGTGTGTGAATGGAAAAATATTAGAATTTTTTTTTCTGAATTTGCCAAAACAGCTTTCTTTTTGACCTCAACTTAACACTGATGTAAAATTTGAACTTCCGACATTCAAATATTATTAATTATTTTAAAGATTCATTTATCATTTTATCTTGTCTTCTCATTTGAAAAGGTGTGATAGTTGTTATGTTTCAGGGTTTTTGAAGAATTTTCTACGAATATTCTATGAGGATTTCCAATAATCTGTATGCGACAAAATAACCAACACAAATGTGGAAATATTTCTATTAAGAGGTTTCAGTTCAATTTTTTGTGTACATATTCTTATGAAAACATCAGCAAAACAATGATTTTGTTTTTTTTTTTAATTTTCAATTGTTTGAGTGAAAATGGATGGATCGCTCTTGGTACTTAGGTTTTCTTCAGAGATTGCGGACACTGAAGATTTTCACTGTAATAAATTTATAAAGTATTCCGAAAATATACTTACTGAAGAGAGAATCCTTTTTATCTTCTATGATATCAATTTCTCCAACGATCTCATCAATGAAACGGGGTGAATATCTACCCGCTTCTGTCACTTCATCGTTGAACTGGAGTTCGAAAGTCGTGGATTTCAGAAATTTTTCAACCTGAAAATATTTATTATATTTTGAGAAAACACAATATGTGGTATTCAGCAAATATGATAGAAATGAACAAATTTAGTCACTGAAGATTAAAGTCAACGAAAATTTTGAATTGAATTGAAAACGAAAGAAACGTTTATTCTACAGAACGAAATATTACTTTCCGTTGAGTAAATGATGGAAGAAGTTGGAAAGGAAACTTTTGAATATACCAATTATATGATATTTTCGAAGTGCCAAGTTTTAAAAAAAACAAAATCAAATGGCGTTAATTTATAAAATGATTTTTTTTAAGTTTCCATGAAAAGCTATATTTTTTTATCATATTAAGTTCAATAGCAGATATAAGGCTGAAAATTTCAAAAGAGTGTATCATGTTTCATATGAATCAAAATATCTTAATGACCGTGTTTTGGTTTGACTCATTTCTTGTCATAATTATTCGTTAATTTTTTGTATTGCTCTTTTATCGATTAGGTACTTGAGAGTGTACAGTTCAAGAATAACTTTCTACTAACGTTAGTTCAATTACGAAATTGAGGTAGCAATTATTCAAATATATACTCGATATCATTTGGTCGAATCCACATGAAACTAACAATTCCAGACTGGATGTAGCTAATATTGTTCAATCATGTTCAATTATTCTGGTAATTGGTTTATGCAAAATGCTACCAGATCCACCATAATTTTTTATCCTCTTCTCAGGTATCTAGTATGTAGGTAGACAGGTTCTCAAAAACCACATCTACCAAGTTGCAACTTGGTTTCACTAATTTTTTCACTGATAGATTCCAAAATATTTGTAGAATAAATTTTAGATTTTCATTCGTATCCTTTTGATCTGTTGTTCAGTTGTATGCTTGTTGATTTCAATATTCTTATTATTCTTCTTTTCACACAAAGACCTGAGGAAGATCGTAGTTCACCGAAGTATCAATTGTATCGAGTTTCAATAATATGTTCAACTCTTCTACTATTCCGTTTGATGATTTTTCTCTTCAATCATCCGATATTCGATACAACAAAATTTTTGATTTTTCGTAAAACTCAGATATTTGAATGTGAAAACAGACTGAACAATATCCACCTAACAAACAAAAGCAACCCAAACAAAGGTAGATGTGTGATCAAAGCATGGTCACCACGCACATTTACATCTATTGGGTGAATTAAACAAAACCTCCATACGCTGGCCAATCAAATTCATCTATAATCGGCTGGCAACATTTATTGTAACACTGTCGAAGTGGTCAGTTACATTTTACTGCTTGTGGTGTGTACATATTCGGTATCTCAAAGTTTAAAATTTTTAAAATGACACGTACCGAGACGGCTGAAGAAACTGCTGATTTTGTCCCCACACTCCACCTTAAAAAATTGCCTATGCCCAGCCGCGTATTTGAAAAAAATTTTAAAAAATTGGTCGTTCCTTAGTGCGACTCTGTTTAAGCAGCCTTGTCTGGGAGATCACGTACACTATGCATGATGATGTTTTGGAGCACTCTGTAGCTTAGATGGGCAGAGTATAGTATGATGTAAGACATTGCTCTCTAATTATAAATTCACAGTTGAACCTAGAGATTAGTCTTATTCCAATAGTAACTGGAAAAGTTCTAATACCAATGGCCACTGTTGAAATGAAAATGAATAACAAAATAAACAGGCCAACAATTCTCAACTGGAATTATTCTCGAAGGGTTTTTTCCTGTTTATTATTTTTTACAGTAACTTACCTTCCTCTTTGCAAACTTCAGAAGTTGGTCCCACTCTGAGTCCGACGATCTTGGACTCTCTGAATATTCATATGGTTCTTGGACTAATTGTCGCAGTTGTGTTTCAGGCATCCGTTTTATACGGGCGGTTTCGCTGAGATAATATTCGGGCTGCAAATAGGAAGAGAGTTAGAATTACCAATGTAGTGAATGAATTTGGGATGAAAATCCTCTGAATATTCATGGAGTCTTTGTCTCGTTCTCGAAAATCGCGTTTTCAGAATGGATTCAAGAGATCAACATAAGGCATTGACAAAGATAGTAGAGGCTGCTGAGTGTGGATTTTCAACAATCATATCTCAAAAAACAACTCCAGGATTCAATAAAAAATTTGGAAACTTTTCAAATGAAAGAATAATTACTACGAAACGATTTTCGGCTCTCTACCTTTCTATCAATATATAAAAAGGTCATTTACCAAATATGAATNGCTCTCTACCTTTCTATCAATATATAAAAAGGTCATTTACCAAATATGAATATTTTAAAGATTTATTGGAGTAACATCATTTTCTCAATTTCATGTTTTCACTAAACTATAATGGATAAATTTAGTTCTGATGATAATTGAAAAAATGTTGATAACAGTGTAGATTTTTGGGGTATAATGGAAAATTTTTGGGTGCCAAACATCCCAAACTTCTTGAAACTGTGATTTCTAGAGATATTTAGTTACAAGAATAAGGCTGTTGAATATACTTTCTGAAAATTGGACACAATTTCCAAGATTTCGTAGTACTGACCTCAAGACATTCAGTTTGTGGGTATAACATGCACATTTTGTTTTTTGATGGAATCTGTCTAATTGAATTTATTCCTTGGAAAATAAGAATGATTATTTTATCAGGATACCTCTAACTAAATGAATAAAAAATAATCATTCTGTTGAACCAGTTTCTGTGGTATCTAACTTCATTTTAGAAAGTATATGATAATTTCTGGTTGAACAAATTTTCAGCGTTTTCGTATGATAATATTGTTTTACAGCAGATTCTGTAGAAACAATATCAAACGTTTAAGAGAGAATAGCATAAAGTAATTCACGTATTCCACTAAAAACTCCATTTTGAACTGAAATTAATTAATTTGTATGATTTTTTGCTCAATAATATACCTACATTTCAATTTTTAATTAATAATGATTCTCTAACATATCGAAAAATGAAAACTATTTGTGAACTATGTGTGAACAGATTATTCCTTGCTATTCCGAGAAGACTCTTCGTTGATATTCTACAATTTTCAGTTGGAAAATTCTCACATTTTTTGTATCAAAAAGTAAAAAAAAAACCAAAACATTTCTTTCCCAAAAAGGAATATCTCCTAAAAATATACGCACTTTCAATTTCATGATTGCATTTCGAAACCAAATAACTTTTAATGTCTTTCTGATATTCAGAATCAATTATTTTCAATGAAATATAACTCCATATATGACTATTTAACGATTATGTCTTACTACTCCATTCATCATTCGAAACAGCAATTGTGTCTCTGAAGTATCAAATTCAATCCACCATATAATTTCATATATTACTGAAAGAACCGTTCAGTTTTCAAATTGATTTTGAATAAAATGTTTCCAACTTTCCAAAAGAATTTGAAACATTTTTTATGAAATAAAACAATTTTGTCATAATAAGTCAACAATAAATATTTTTCTGCAGTGACTCATTTCTCTTGTTCAACGTGAATATGCATATGCTAAGCTTGTAGGTGAACTATTTTCTCGTCTAGTAACGACCTGATCGCTCGAAACTGAAAACAAACTACTATTTCATATAGGAGCATTGTTATAAACATTCATTTGAACTTCCAACTTTTTTTGGGGTTGTAGTCTATCAATCTGTACCAGTACTTTTATTATCACTTCTAATTTTCCCGTGTGACAAATTCAATCATCACTATTGTTGATGACCTGTGTCTACAATTGAACAAAAAATGCAAGTACTTATTATCACATCATTTTTCCTTCTTCTTTTTTGGGAGCTATCCGACTTGTGTATTTTTTCAAAGTCATTATGAAACACCCATTTCAACAAGTGTGTCTGGTTCTAGTTCGAGGAAGTCCCTCGCTTCATGCGTAACATATTCCTCTGGATATGATTTGGGTTATCCATGAATTGTTTGCCTCCTGTTTCAATCCAGTGCCCTATATTCGCATATAATATGACGAACTGTTTCTGTACCTTTGTTCCATTTCCTGCACTTGGGGTCTCCATTGTACCCTACTTTGTTCAGGTGTCCTCTCAATGGACAATTTCCATTGAGTACGCTGTAATTATTCTGAGTCGATCCGTGCTTTGTTGAAGCAGTTCTCTTTTTGTATGGTTAAATCGTTAATATTCAAAGTATGTCACCTTTTTCGGTCGGATATGATTTTGGAACAAGTGAATTTCAATCGAAAAAAGTGTTATGAAGAAAAAAGAGAAACTCAAAGGGTATTGTTCGAAGTTGAATGAGAGTTCTCGATAGTGATCTGTTATACGAAGCCAAGTTTCAACGTCAATTGACAAATATTACTGGAGTTTTTTTCCAACACCAAATCGTTATTTTCAACACCTCAACACGTGTTTCGAAACACGTGTCGAGTAATATTCATTACTACACCAAAGGTTCCAAACAGTGCATTACTAGTATCGATTAACAACTGGAAAATCTTTACTTCATTTTGCAGACAATTCAGAGTCTAAAGATATTCCAATCACGATCTGGAACTACTTCTAGGATCAAACGTATCATCCAGAACCCGAACTACTACAACATGATCATCAGCATTTTCTTTTCTTGGAAAACGTGAGTTGATAAGGAATGAGAATGAGGATGAGAATCTCCAGCGAATCGAATCCAACGTGAATCGTTTCTTTTGCACAGGCACCGCTCTGAAGTGGGCCTGATATGGAATCTATTTTTTTCGAGTTTAAGGGAAAATTAATGGTAATAGTGATTTATTCAGCAGTCTCAGCATACAATGAAGCTGTTGGATTAGGATAAGTTCATATGTTCACCGATAGTTTGCTCAATGTTTTACCTTCCAAAAGGAAACATTTTTAGCTAGGTATATATTTTGAAAAGAGATTAATTTTTGGGAAGTTCCCCACATTTTTAATGTATGAGTATGAAGAAACAGAAAAGTTAGAACCTTTCTTTCCTAGAGAACCATTCAAATTTTAGATGAATATTCTTACATACTGTCAACAAATTTTTCATTATTTCAGGTGAATTTCTGATAATTTCGTCAACATAACAAAGACATTGAAATAAATGAGTACATTTTTTTTCCACAAGTGTTCAATTCAATCAGTTCGAATTTTGGCAATTACAGTATTTTTTTTAACAATTATTGATAATGGGAAAGCTTATAGAAGAAAATTTTTTGCCTCTGCCAAATAATCTGGAACAATTCGATTAACCGAATCATTTACAATCATATTTCTCAGTAGACTTGCTTCACTTTTTTCATACGGGATAAACTTACAGCTCATCTGGAATAAAATCTAATACGTGACTTCATAATTTCATTATATATTGAGAAAGTATTATTTATCATTACTCACCTTATTAAAAAAATCATCGAAAGAAGCGAGAGCCCTTGATTTGAAACATTCTGCCAGATCACCATTTAAGCAGGCAGAATTTGTTCTGGCCAAGTAGGGATCAGTCTCAGGGCCAGTGCCGAATCCAATCCAGTCAAGTAGGTTTCGCCCTGAAAATAAAGTCAGAACATGATCAATCAATGCAAAAACCCCCATTTTTTTAATTATATTTCATTTAAAAAAACCATCTCATGAATTTCGAAGCACAAGATTGCCGCCTAGAAATGTACAAAACCTGTATTGTAAATGGTGTATCGAGTTGAACCTGTCCGATGAGCAATGGTAGTTTACAGTGTACTTTTGGCGTAGGCAATTCTTGATATACCTTTATGAAGGTAATTGTTTTTGAAGATTTCATAGTTACTTGTGATGTTTGGATGTTCACTTGGACAGTTGAATCTTTTATAACTGAAATCTTTTAGCTAGGATTTGGCTAGAATACCAAAAGCTCGATGGCATAGCTCCATATATTTGGAAAATATTTCTAAGAAAATTTGATTTTCAGTTTTTTGAAACAGGAAAGTTGTTCAGGTATGCACAAAGTTTGGTATTTCAACTGGCTATATATTAGTTTCAGTTCCATCAAAGCAAAGAACTTCACAATCAAAGAATTAGGGATAAACTGCTTGCCAATCCCAAAGGGTATAGATCCTTCTGATGGTTGGTAGCTGAAGCTGTCAAAACTTCATTGAATCCATTTTTTCCAAAGACAAAACAAAAGCACTACAGAAAAATCCTTATGACACTCTGATAGCGCTGTCAGTGCGAAAGTAGTGATTCACATTGGATTTTAATTGTAAAAATTAAATGTGACAAGTCACTTGAACACTTCCTGTGGAAGTATCTATAGAAGAGGGACAATTTTACCACTAACACAAGCGGATGATTCAATTGCAACAACAGCTATAGAAAAAGCAAATCAACAAGTTGAACAGTTTATGTCCCACTCCACAGTCGATTTTCTGGGAGAAGCACCACCCACTATTTTCATACTAGAATCCACAATGTTTCAACAACGTTTAGTCAGGCGAATTTTAAAACAGCTCAATTTCAACAAGGCGTATGGTCCTGATGAAGTGCCCGTCATCGTACTTATAAAGTACTCGCAGCAGTACTTTGCAGACTTTTCAATCTGCCTTACATTTGGCTAAATGCACCGCACGGAAGCAATAGCCAAGAGAACCTAGAGAGAGATAGATAACCTGTCTCACAAGAAAGAGGTATTTTTCTTCTTGTTGTAAGATTGCTCGCGTGCGACCAATTCCCAAAAATGGCAAGATATATGTTCCAAATAATTATAGACCAGTCGCTTTGCTATCAGTGATATTAAAAATCATAGAGAAAGCCGTAAACTACCATATCCTCAAATATTTGGGGGGCTTCAACATCTTGAGCAATTATCAATATGGCTACTAGAAACAAAGATTAACAGGCGACCTTCTATCGTATATCAGCCATATATGGAATAACGTAATCGAGAAATATGAAGAGTAAAGAGTTGTTGCGTTTTATATTTCTAAGACCTCTGACTGTATGTGGCATGAGAGTTTGCTGGCCAAAGTTCGAAGCTATGGCTTGTCGGACCATTTTTGTGTACGGCTCTTCAGCTTCCTGAAAGAACGTTTCCTACAAGTGACCGTCGACGGATATCTCTCGAATACTATTACCATCAACGCTGGTGTTCCCCAGCCTTTTTCAATTGTATATCAACGACTTGTTGGAAAAAACCAAAATACTGAAATTTTGCTTTGCTGACAACAGCATACTTGTTTCGTCATTCCATTTGGATTCTAGGACATCGGCTGTGGATGCACGTTTCTACTGGCAGTAAACAGGGGACAGCGTTGGACACGCCCGAGTAGGAAAAAGCGATGATATATCCCCAAGACATCATCAATTGGATCGACAGAAGATTCAATCTCTCAAAAATTGGCAAAAAAACTTTTTCTGGTACTGGATCATGAATGTTTTGTTTCTGGGCTGTTATTTCAACTAGTTTCCTGGCAGTGAAGGTTTTAGAGAAAAACAGAAGGCCCGTTCAACAATTGATGTTGAAGCTTGAGATCGCAACGGAACGCCTCAGGAGTTATCTCCGATGAGTCATCGGAGATACCTCAGGATATATCTCTGAAGGAGCTAGCCACTCGCTCCGGAAAGAAATTCCAAAAATTCACAGTCTCCAAATCCGGAAAATAGTTACACTGATTCATGACTGTTTTGAACTAATGCCTTCCAATAAAACTTATTGTGAAGCAACTGGTATATAATTATTTGAAGTATTTTTCTTACTATGTTTGAGTATTGGTTAAAATTGAGCAGTCTTTCAACGAAAAGAAAAAAATATTTTTTTCCACAATTGATTACCTGATAGATGAATATTTGTTGTTGTGAATTTGTTACAGAGGATTGATTATGTATTGAGATCAAAAATTATTATTTACGATGCACTAGAGAAAAATCCTGGAGGTGCCTGTGCGAAAGTAATGATTCACATTGGATTTGAATCACTGGAGATTGAATTCATTTGGAAAAACGTTCTCAGGAAGTTCATGTCACATAAACGCAGCTCTCCATATGGAAGAGTTCTTGAACAGTGAAGTGAGAGGTGTACTAAGTTGAACCTCAAAACGATCACCAGCCACAGTCCGTCAAGTATTTTTGATATGTACCGCTCTTAGTGGGATCAAATATGCCAAGTCACTTGAACACTTCCCGTGAAAGTATCTATGAAAGAGAGATAAATCTCCAACCTATCAAGGTTGCACGTGATGTTCGCGTCTTCAATCAGGCGAATGTCTCTTTTCTGGATGGGACCCAGCAACTTCAGGGTATGTTTGGAGGCAGAGCTCCATATATGAGAACAATACTTCAATAAAGGTCTGATCTGAGCTTTGTAAAGCATCGGAAGTTGCTGAAGTGTGTACAGTGTGTACAAAATGCGGAATTGTCTGACCTGACATTATTATATCCCGTTAGGAGACATTCATCTTCTTAGAGAAAACCGATGCATGGGTTGGAGACAATATGGATCCCTGGGGAATACCAGCGTTGGTGGTGGAAGTATTCAAGAAATATCCTGATATTATGTGAGAATAATACCCAGGAACCAAACAGCTCCTCTGAAAAACTTAGTTTTCCAAAAAATATAGTTCTCTACAATTTCTGGAAGATGGAGATGTGAAATCCATAAAGCGTTTTTTCCAAGAACTTATCCCATCCAATTTGAAGATAAAATCCATTTCCAGAGGCGATTATTCTTTTGGAATACCTCATTAGGTAATCAATATCGTTCATCAAATATTCAAATAGTTTGAATTGAAGGGGTTATATTTTTATTTCTTTGGAAGATTCTCTCATCCCTTTTTTTGTATCAGATGGAGTAGTAGAAAGCCAAAAACTTTCTTTCTCAAATAGTTTATTATTAAATGTGTTTTTGCATTAATTGATTGACGTGTTGGATGTTTCGAAGTAACCCGTAGAAGTCTTTAGCAAATTATAGAAATAAATAGTGAAAAATCTGGTCTAGTCCGATCGGCATAACACTACTTCAATCTTTATTACATCAAATAATGAAAAAAATTCATATCAATTTCAACCTCCACCCTACTCCAAGTCAAATGATATCACAAAAAACCTCTTTCATAGATTTGTTCACGACAAACGGGATACTCAGACATATGTATTCATTATATGAACTGAAATATGAAAGCAGAGAAAAATAAAGTACACTCACTGAAGTAATCAGAAAAGTTATAAAACCCTCAATGCAATTTCGTAGCAAAAACAGCAACAGCTGTTTATCACAAACTCCATACTGGATTGCCGCCAGACAGTTGAATTGATTACAAGCAACGGAATGGAGTTTTTACATTCTAATTGTATGAATTTTGTGAAATCTCAGTTGGAACTATTACGTGGAAAATTGGAAGAAATATTGGAAAGAGAGTTTTGACTGAAAATTAACATACCGTTTGTCCGAACTTGAGCATTTTTTTCTCAGCGAATTGTATGCATTCAAAGTCATCATTGTCAACTAGTATCGATAAACGTTTATAATCGAATGCAAGTGTTAAATTTTATTGCTTTCGAATTTTCATTATTGTTCTTATTGCTTTTATTGATCCAAGTTGATAACAAACTTAGATTATTCATAGACTAGATATATTGTTGGAAGTTAATGGACCAGATAAGTTTATTAATAGTAATAATGTCTTCAGTATGAGAAACTTAAACGGAAAATATAAAATTCTTTGAATTTAATTAATTAGTTGAAGCCAATTTCATGAAATTAAACAATGAAAACTTACACTCATCTCATTTCGGAAACGACCAAAATAAGCATAACACATAACATTATTAGATCGAATATTCAGACAGACTTTTGTTGTTCATTTTACGACTTCGTGGAACTTGGTGAGGAAGACCAACAACTAACTACGGCAAAGTTCTCAAACTGAAGTTAACATGCGGCATAAACCGTACGCCATTGGCGTGCCGCTATGAAAACTTCAATTAACTTTATAGGGATATTTTTATAGCCTCACATCAAAAATCTCAAAAAATATATAAATTTAGCGAAAGCGTGGAAACTATAGACCGTCTTATCGTCGTTGAAACATTTTCTTCAGAAATTATAACTGAGAGAGATTGAAAATATGCTATTTATATATTAACCAGAAGTTCAAAATAACCCTTTTCACCTATCTCAGGTCAGATGAGTTTTAATATTGATATTTGACAAAAAAAATTCGATATCCAAAACCGTTCACAAGACTATTTATCACACGTTTTCGCTTCGAATGTGCTTAACGTAATATTAGACAGAGAAAAAGAGATATTTGATAATTGTTAATGTAAAAATTTTGCATTGAATAATTTCCATAGAAGTTGCTGATAGTAAATGACAAATGCATGACTCGATGTGATCAGATTAAAATATGGAATGGAAAGCGTTTAGTTGTTTTCAGACTATAGTTTTGTTGCAGTGCCTGTGAGTGGGAACAGTGGTTGAAATATGAAAATAGAAGAGCTGAGAGATTTAGATTGAAAATCATCTGAAATATGTATCAGAGACCTGGTTATAACTATTTTCCCAATCATGTGAAGTAGTTGATTTTGCGTAAATTTTTACCAAATTTCAAACAAAGTATTTTCTCAGTTTTTTTGTACGGAATTTCTATGAAAGGCTTCATGAAGCTTTAAGTGGAAGTGGAGAAATGGAAGTGAATAATCAACAGCTAATTCCACTGTTTCTACGTTCATATAAATGGCAGAAGAAAGCAGTCAGAATATTTATGAAACCTAAAAATAGCAAAAAAAATCAAACTCTGCTTTATTATGTCAAGCTTTCGCTTCTAATGGGGAGCTTCTTCAGGGCCTATAATTTAATGAGTTGTGAATATAACTCTTTCTGTGTTGTCTATTCTTTACACTTGGCTGTACCGTACTGACGAAGGCTAAATAGCCAGAAACATGTGTCTGCGGTTTGCCCACCTTCCTATGAGTGCTTTGTCAAATAACCTTTTTCCATCGATAATACCATCTCACTCAATATCCCTCTATCTTTTTTTATTTATATTGGACCCGGATGTCACGCAGGTTGCTATAGCTGCACCCGTGACGAAGTTGGGAGTTAGTCCTTGTAATCACAAGGTCTACCAACGATGACACGAAATCGCAGTTGGCCCCTGATGATGAATCCGCTTGCTTGTTTGACCCTTTTCGTGCAACCAATTGTTGTCATGATATAAATCAGAAATGAAAAAATTCGTGGATACAACACTCCAAACAGAGGGGCAAACCGCGGACACGTGTTTCTGGCTATTGGCCTCATCAGCGCGGTGATGATATATACTTGATATACACTTGACACCGAGATTGAACTGATATTCAATATTCAATGTTATTAACACAGATGCGTCCTTGGAATTGTTTTCTCATCACGCCACTGAATGAAGAAGCAGTCACTCACCTTGTCTTCCATCGTCAATGGACCCTTGTCGATAATTACTCTCTTGACCGAGAGACTGTAGCGCCACAATTGAAACCAACGACAACAAAAGTACCCATTTAGCTGATCCTAACATCTTTCGAAGATAATATAAAAACAAATACAGGAAAAGTAACTAAATTAACTTAAATATTTCGATGTATCTACCGCACATAACCTCTGTAACGGAATGTTTAGTATTGAATTCGCGAAATAGAAACGTAATGTAACGGTACACCACTGGCGTAGATGATTTAGGAACTTTTTGGGTTATTTTTCTTGTACGGTATATCGTTGAACTAACTGTCCGAAAATGGTGGTGTATTATATATATAGAGGTATGGGGGTGTCATAATGTTTGAGATTATGTCTTCGGGAACTCCAGTGCGGTAATTGTTGTGCCAAGAGGGGCAATGCCCAGAGAAAGTGTCTTCGGGTTGTTACCTAATCAGACCCATAACCTTGCTAAATTCATGGCAAACTGGAGGGTCTGCACTTACGAGTGTCAATTGTTGCAATACATCCGCTGTTAATCATATACATTCGGTGAATATTAAGAATGTGTGTTATGATCCATAAGTACTTGATACATTGTTTCAGAATAATACGGTCAACATACAAATCCGTGCACGCCTTCTGAAAACTTGTGATCTCTTTAGATTTCAGAACACATGGTGCGTTTTTCCTAGATCACACACAAAATATTTCATTGGGGCTTTTTTAGATAACATGAGCTTAGAGAGTCATCTGGCTTGCTCGAATATACAGGGCTACTCAAATTTCAGTATCTACATAGAGTAGTTGTGAACAGTAACAGACAGACAGTCGGTTATATTGTGACAAGGTTGCCTGTTTTGAAGTACTATGAAGTAATACAATTCTGTAGAACTAAGCCCTTTTGGTTTCGAGTTTCGAGAAAAACCAACAATATTTTTGTATTTTCTTCTTTATATGCTGAGATATTGAGAATTTCTTCATTATTTGTAGCTTTGAAACCGTTCGACTCGAGAATTTATTCATTATTTGTAGCTTTGAAACCATCCAACTCGTCTATTCCGACCGATAGTCCGGGAAACACTACATCACCAAAATCGTATTGTGTCTATTTTTTATTTTTTTAACGATATTATTCTCGATAGTAGTGTGTAGAGGTTCATCAATCGGTTGCCTACCCAATTAACAACCCAGGACCTTCATTCCAAGTGTGGTGGAGAAACGCCTTCAAAGAGGAATAATTTAGTAGTGTTTTACTTGAATATTGATTCTCAATGTATCAACTTGCTCATCAGAGGTAACATCAGCTAAACTTGAAAAAATTGTCTCCAATGAATTCCCGTCAGACTCTAAACGTTTCTGTGGGGAACAAGCATGGCAAAAAGTATATTTTCTTTACTGCAAGAATGAATATAGCAAAATGATCTGAATTTTGGTATTATATCAGGTATTGTTGACTAGGAAAAGGTTATCAAAATCTATTTATCCATATGCTATATATTACTACTTATATTTACTTATATAAAACCTCATAACGAAGAATTCAAAAAGTTGTTGAAAAGGTCCAATACACCCAATTATTAGCTTGCTTGCACACCAATAGAAAATAAGGAGTCATTCAAAAATTTGTTCACCAATTAAGTACCTTCTGATATACCATGAAGACATTTTCACAAAGGTATTTGGTTTATCTGACAAAATGTCCACAAGGAAGTCCGAATTACCCAAAATAGAATCCCTGAGGGTAAAACACTCTTGAGTTTGACGACTTTCTCAAAGAGTTGTCCAGAAAGTAACCCTCAAAAAACCATATTGAATTAATTACATGTTATCTGAAATTTTGTCGATTCATTTCTGGTAGTGAATTTGATAATAAAATATGAGACAGAGGTGAAAGGACAATAAAAAAAAGCTCACAGATACATGACCAATCATTATAGATGTGTGAAATGGGTGAAAATGCGATATTTTTTACCAGTACAGTCGAAAGCTGGTTGCACTTTTTCTTTTTATTACCGCAACACTCTTGAAATGGTTGGCCATTTCATAGCCACACACTTAACACATAAAAATCAAATCAAAAGCACGGTATTACGTAACTATATCGAGAATGTCAATATCTGAAACATCAATATCTTGAATAATGCCAAATCATAAAGAGATGATAGTTAGGTTAGTTTTCGTCACTCATTATTAGTTCTGCACTTGGAATATTACAGAGTAATGTTCCAGTTGCTTTTCACCCCCCCTCTCCCTTCATGGACTTTTGTGAGAGAAATATATCAGAGCTCGTGTGTTTATGAAAAATTATATGTCTGAAAAGACTTCAACAGCGAAAACATTAAGTCTTTCAGACCATTATCACTATTATAATCCAAATTCATACCCTAATTCTAGTGGTTGAAATGTCCTGATATTACAATTTTCAACATCTGATTTACTTCGAGGATATTTTTCCTACATTGGAAAATACCCGTAGGTATTTAAACATGTTTCCTTACGACCTAATCGAAGGTCACCATAACGTAATTCTTACTAAAATTGTTAGTTGGGTCCTGCGAGTCAATTCCTCCAACTCCTGTAAATATCATAAACAGTTTCCTGTTCTATAAAATAAGGGACTTGCTCAGTTCTTGTTTCATTTGGTCCCTACATAGAGATTTTTTCGTTTATGATAATTGGCATATTTATGTTTCTTATCGTCAGCTTTCCTGATCTGATATTGATAATAGCTCAAATGAAAGCAACACTTGTATCTCATTATACCAAAGCCAGAACTCATTTTTTCCCACAATCCAGCTAGACAAAATGCATTTGATTTTTCTCATGAATAAGTTCAAGAAAGTCAGTAGTTTTCATCCCCCTCATTTTTGTTCACATTATGAACTCTATGGCATCCCTCCCTGAATAGAAAAGCAATATAAAGTCATTGAATAATTTGAAAAATTATGAATAACTGTTCAAGAAACATGAGCGTATATCTATTCGTACCGATGGAGTCAAAATAACTGAATTTAATTCTTTGTTTTCATTCAAAAATACTCTTTATCTCTTGCTATTCACGAAAACACACCCGTATTTGAATGAATTTTTGTGTCTATTATATATCGAGTGACTAACTAAAATCGCACGTTGAAATATAAAACCTCTTTGGTTACCCCGCACAAGTTTCTGAACAAATTGAAGATTGTTCGTAGGGTTTGATTAATTGTTCAAACTGAACTAGACGTCTTTCCGAAACACATCAACAGCGTAAGACCTTCCATCACTTTCACAATGCTGAAGAGGCAAGCCCACAACGAATAGCCATTCTAAGGCGTATCGGTAAAGAGGACCGACACTAAGTGGAAAACTTTTGTGTACTGTAAAACTCGCTTACACGGGACGGTATTTGAACCACGAATTCAACCACCATCAATCGACTGAAAGAGGAATCATAAAGACTCTATTAGACCGTGCTTTTGGGCTTTGTGATACGAAGGAAGGTCTCGAAAAGGAACCAGTCATCATCAAAAATGATCTTCAAGAAATGACTACTCTAAAGCGATGGTGAAACAGACTTCGGTTAAAAGACAGAAAGGGCCTCGCAAGGAAGAGAAGCCGTCACAACCAGTTCTTGCACTTCCCTACATCAGAGGATTATCGGACATGATAAGAAGAATTGGGTCCATTAGAACCTGCTTCAGATCCGGAAACACTATCAGTAGCTGCCTCACCAAAACCAGGCCACCAAAAGCAGACTGCGATTCCAAGAATTGCAGTTACCGGATACCCTGTGTATGCGGAAAATTCTTTATCGATGAAACTAAGAGGCCATTGAAAGTACGCATTGTCGAGCACGTGAAACACACACAGCGAGGGGAAACCAGCAAATCAGTAATAGCACCCATCAACATAACATCGAGTGGTCCCAAGCTGAGAGCATACACAGGAGGGAATTTAAAAAGCCGCATACATGTTGTCCAACAATGTATTCAGCCAAGCTAGTGTAGATATACGCAACTCATGGAAACACATAATCAATCGAAAAATGGCCAACTCCTGTCAAACTGTCATCTTCTGCTGAACCTGTGAAGGGAAATGCGGAAAGAGGAGATAAGTGGAAGTACCCAAATGACCCATAAATAGTCATCTCTCGAGGGAACGATCCATTCTATGCTAGGTAATTATACACAGTAGGACCTATATTTTTGCATTTGTGCAAGAACTATGTATCTTCGTATGCTACCTTTGACTGATGAAATCTGTCAGTTTTAAAAATATATTTTTGCGTTAATCAGCTGTCGTCCCCATACGAACGACAGCTCTCAGAAGTTGAGAAACTTGTGCGAGCTAAGGACTAACGAGGTCTTACCTTTCAACGTGTGATTCCCAAATCGTTTGCAGAACCATCCCAGCTTCAACCAGATAAATTCTCTCGAGAAAAATATCTGGTCGAGGCAGGAATCGAACCCACGGTCTTCCGATCGTGAGTCGGGCGCACTACCACCGCGGCCAATTCCACAACATAAATAGTTCAGGAACATTCAAAGGAATTTTTAAAGATGCTAAGCTTCAGCAAAATGAGGCTTTTCCTTGCAACGTATACGTAGGTGACGTCACAGCGAACGATTCTCGAGAAATTGGTATCCTTGAAACATTCGCAGATCTGTGATTCGAGTTTAACCGGCAATATTAATAGGTGACGAAATATTTCGCATGAACGATTGGCGGAACTATGTAAACGCAGAAATGCAAGTGATCCAAGAAAAGGGCCTCAGGTTTGTTCGAGTTTAGTTGGAATACGAGTATTAGAACCGTAGTCTTTCAGAATTGTCTGCTAAATCACCACAAATGACACCTTTAATTTTTGTAGAAATTCGTGCCAGTCCATCAGAGAAATCATGGATAGAATGAAATATGCTTCCAAGAGAATATACTATATTGTGAAGAATGAATTTGTGATGAGATTCAATCTTTCCCAAGGAGAGACCATTTTAAATATTTACTACCAGAGGTGGATGAAGAATTGGAAGATATATCAAATAAGGTACTACAAGGCTCTATGGAAATTGTGCATATCATCCTCTGAACGAGAAGTGATGCCACACAATTCTTTCTCTTGTTGAGAAGTACTCGAAAATGTACGACTTGTATATATTGCCCCGTTCACAAGCTGAGAAGGGGGGAATTTTTCGTCAGCAGTGTCTGTTCACGGATAGTCCTATAATGTGAATTCAATTCAACTGCTTACAGTAGTGAGTATTATGAGTTCTGGCAAAGGGTTCCACAGATTGTTTAGAGGA